TGGGACTACAGGCGTGCGCCACCACGCCCGGCTCATTTTCTCTATATATTTTTAGTTGGCCAATTAATTTCTTTCTATTTTTAGTAGAGACGGAGTCTCGCTCTTGCTCAGGCTGGCCTCCAACTCCTGACCTCGACCGATCCTCCCTCTTCGGCCTCCCAGAGTGCTGGGATGACCGGCGTGAGCCACCGCACCCGGCCTCTCTGAAATTTATTGAAGAAAAAATTAGGGGTCTGATTGTCTGATTAATCAAGCTTTAGATTCAATCAGCAAACACTGTACCTAATTGATTCCAGGCTCTGTTCTAGAAACGTTCCCATGTTTATTAATAAACACATATATTAAAGGTTATTAGAGGCCGGGCGCGGAGGCTCACGCCTGTCATCCCAGCATTCTGGGAGGCCAAGGAGGGAGGATCGCTCGAGCTCAGGAGTTGGAGGCCAGCCTGAGCAAGAGCGAGACCCCGTCTCTACTTAAAAAAAATAGAAAGAAATGAGCTGGACGAGTACAAAAATGTATAGGGAAAATGAGCCGGGCGTGGAGGCGCCAGCTACTTGGGAGGGAGGCTGAGGCAGGAGGCTCGCTGGAGCTCATGAGGTCGGAACCAGCCTGAGCCAAGAGCGAGACCCCGTCTCTACTAAAAATACAAATAAATTAACCAAATAGATACAAATAGAAAAAACGAGCCGGGCGTGGAGGCGCATGCCTGTCGTCCCAGCTGCTCGGGAGGGAGGCCGAGGCGGGAGGCTCGCTGGAGGCCAGGAGGTGGAGGCTGCTGTGAGCGAGGCTGAGGCCACGGCACTCACTCCAGCCCGGGCGACAGAGCGGGACTCGGTCTCAAAAGAAAAATAAAAAAAAAGGTCCTTCCTTTTTAAGGCTAAATCGTGCCCCCATTGCATCAGAGACCCAGTTTACTCCTTGGACAACTTTCTAGAAACTTCCATGTTTTTTTCCTTTCTTTCTTTTATTTTGTTATTTGTTTCCTTTTTTTCCTTTTTTTCTTTTCTTTTCCTTAATATTTCATCAATTCTTTTATTTTTTTGGACATTATGAAGCAGTGATGTTTTCTTTCTTTCGTTTCTTGTCTTTCTTTTCCTTTATTTCTTCTCTTTTCTCTGTTTTCTTTTTTCTTTCTTTCCTTTCTTTCCTCTCCTTCCTTCCTTTTTTTCTTTTCTTTCTTTTCTTTGTTTTCCTTCCTTCCTTTCCTTTTCTCCTTCCCTTTCCTTCATTCCTTCCCTCCCTCCTTCCTCCTTTCTTTTCCTTCCCTTCCTTCTTCATTTCCTTCCCTTTCCCCTTCCCTTTCCCCTTCCCTTTCCCCTTTCCTCCCCCTTCCCTTTCCCCTTCTCTTTCCCCTTCCCTTTCCCCTTTCCTCCCCCTTCCCTTTCCCCTTTCCTCCCCCTTCCCTTTCCCCTTCCCTTTCCCCTTCCCTTTCCCCTTCCTTCTTCCCTTTCCCCTTCTTCCCTTTCCCCTTCCTTTTCCCTTTCCCCTTCCTTCTTCCCTTTCCCCTTCTTCCCTTTCCCTTTCCTTCTTCCCTTTCCCCTTCTTCCCTTTCCCCTTCTTCCCTTTCCCCTTCTTCCCTTTCCCCTTCCGTTTCCCCTTCCTCCTTCCCTTTCCCCTTCTCTTTCCCCTTCCCTTTCCCCTTCCTTCTTCCCTTTCCCCTTCCGTTTCCCATTTCCTTTCCTTTTTCTTTTCCCCTTCCCTGTCCCCTTCCCCTTCCCTCCCCACCATACGATGGGGCAAAATGCGAAGGCGACCGACATTTCCCTTGTCGCCCCCCCCCTTGTTCTGACCTGGAGGCGGAGGCCTCCCCCCCTGGCCTCCCCCCCGGCCTCTCCCCCCGGCCTCTCCCCCTGGCCTCCCCCCCGGCCTCCCCCACTGGCCTCTCCCCCTGGCCTCCCCCCCTGGCCTCCCCGGAGGCCGCCGGTGGGGGCACGGCCCTTGGTCACGTCCCCGTCCCGGCCCGCAGGGACTACCGCGCCATCCCCGAGCTGGACGCGTACGAGGCGGACGGGCTGGCGCCGGACGACGACGACGTGCCCGAGCTCACGGCCAGCCAGCGCGCGGCCGCCGAGCGCGACATGCGGCGGAGGGACCGGCTGGAGGGTCGCGGGCTGGGCCGCATGCGCCGCGGGCTGCTCTACGGTACGTGCCGCCCGTGGGTGCTGCCCAGTAGTTGTCACCCCTGTAGTTGTCGCCCCGGTAGCTGTCACCTCGGGGGGTGTCACCTTGGTAGTTGTCACCCCAGTAGTTGTCGCCCCGGTAGTTGTCACCTTGGTGGGTGTCACCCCCGTAGTTGTCACCTTTGTGGGTGTCGCCCCGGTAGTTGTCACCCGCCCGGGTAGTTGTCATCCCAGTGGGTGTCACCGTGGTAGTTGTCACCTTGCAAGTTGTCGCCCTAGTAGTTGTCACCTGGACAGGGTGTCACCTTGGTAGGGTGGAACCTCGCTGGGTGTCACCTGGGTAGGGTGACACCTCCGTGGGTGTCACCCCAGTAGTTGTCACCTTGGTAGGGTGTCACCTCGCTGGGCGTCACCTGGGTAGGGTGACACCTCGGTGGTTGTCACCTTGGCGGGTGTCACTCCAGTAGTTGTCACCTCCGTAGGTTGCCGCCTCGGTAGTTGTCACCTGGGTAGGGAGTCACCCTGGTGGTTTTCACCTCGGTGGGTGTCACCTCAGTAGTTGTCACCTCGCTGGGTGTCACCTCTGTGAGTATCATGTTGGTGGGTGTCACCTCAGTAGTTAGGTGTCACCTTGCTGGGTGTCACCTCTGTGTGTATCATGTTGGTGAGTGTCACCTCTGTGGGTGCCACCTCGCTAGGGTGTCACCTCAGTAGTTAGGTGCCATCTTGGTAGTTGTCACCTATGGCAGTTGTCACCTCAGCCGGTGCCACCTCGCTGGGTGTCAACCTCATTGGATGTCACCCCAGTAGCTAGGTGTCACCTGGGCAGTTGTCACCCTGGCTGGTGCCACCTCGCTGGGTGTCACCTCAGTAGTTAGGTGCCATCTTGGTAGTTGTCACCTATGGCAGTTGTCACCCCGGCTGGTGCCACCTCACTGGGTGTCACCTCATTGGATGTCACCCCGGTAGCTAGGTGTCACCTGGGCAGTTGTCACCCCGGTAGCTAGGTGTCACCTGGGCAGCTGTCACCCCGGCCGGTGCCGCCTCGCTGGGTGTCACCTCATTGGATGTCACCCCGGTAGCTAGGTGTCACCTGGGCAGTTGTCACCCCGGCTGGTGCCGCCTTGCTGGGTGTCACCTCATTGGATGTCACCCCAGTAGTTAGGTGTCACCTGGGCAGTTGTCACCCCGGCCGGTGCCACCTCTCTGGGTGTCACCTCATTGGATGTCACCCCGGTAGTTAGGTGTCACCTGGGCAGTTGTCACCCCGGCCGGTGCTGCCTCGCTGGGTGTCACCTCATTGGATGTCACCCCGGTAGCTAGGTGTCACCCGGGCAGCTGTCACCCCGGTAGCTAGGTGTCACCCGGGCAGCTGTCACCCCGGTAGCTAGGTGTCACCC